AAAGTTTAGCTTTCAGTATTAAAACAGGACAACATTCGGCTCCTGTTGAGCGCTATTCATATAAACTTCACGAATAGATAATTATTGGTGAAATAATGAAATCACGTATTTTACAACTGTGTATTCCTAGCCGTGTTGCACTTCAACTGATGCGATCTTGGCCGGTTAATTTCCAGAAAGAATAAAACAATTGGAGTCCTCAAATTTTGACTCATTTTACTTCAAAGCCAGGCAAAGAGACGTGAACACCGTGGATAATGTCGGACATGACAGAGTTGCTGCTACCAATAGTTGAACGCTGAAGTACATGGCAATGCGAAAATGCTGATTGGTTCAGCTTGTTCGTGCACACTAATATATAATTCAGCAATGTACCGGTTTATTATAACTTATCAATGCTTTACCAAATATGTGTTCAATGATTATGAGCTATGTAGTATTGTTATTCGTACTGGGTTTAAAATATATTGACTTGGAACGAAATTGTAATACAACCCTCACATGTACATTGTGCACACATCTTTACAATCGCTGACAGAGGGCGCTACATACAGTGGTGCCACAATTCTTACACAATATTTTCACACCAACAATACAATATATAATAGCGTATCTCTGTTTGAACACGCCTTTCTTTGTACTCCTAAAAAATGAAGAAAGCATGGTATTCAATAATTTGTGGAAGTTGTTTTTGACTTTGCAGAACACACCCAAAGGAACAATTTAACCCGTCCTGAAAAAATAACTAGATCATTATTATTATATCGATTACAAAATTAAATACACAAACTTCTAGTAAAAATTATTTGAACTTAGAAAAGATAATTAGCACTAAATATTTAAAAACAATATTTTACGACTTGGAAATTTAAATAAATATTGAATAATTAATAATTAGACAGGACAATGTCAAAGCAGTGTCACTGGTTTGGTATTTAGGTAAACGTATTATTTCGAACTAAAATGATGTATGAGTATTCCAAGCAATCTCGAAGTGTTCTGAAATCATATAATAACATACTGCAGCTGTTGGCAACACGCAAAGCAGCCATGGCTGAACTCATTCCGGCTACTGTACATCGCAACAACGTTCTCCCTTATATCAGTGTCGTATGGTTTATTGTTATTTTTTTTATCGCGTGAATCATACTCAACAAGGAACTAATCTCAGCCTGTCGAGTGTTCTTATCTTTTGTCTTGTTAAACTCCAATACTATGTTACCGAACTTATAAAATAAAGCAAATTTCTTAAATATTCTGGAGTGTCTTGCAGGACTTCTGTCAGAGAAACATCGTCGTCCAATTACTGATCTTTTGTTGTAAATAAAACGATCAAATATCGATGGAAATTCGGCTGACAATTTGTTCAAGATCCCTCAGGCATTTCTGATGTTAACCTGTCATTGATGTTGAAAGTCAGAATGATGGCATCTAGTTCACCACCTTCCTTGTTTGCGATCTCGGTACACTTGCTGATTTCCAGAGCCACAGACTTCGGAGTTGGACCACTCTGTTCCCTATTAGTGCTGCCATCGCGTAGAAGTAAAGGCGGGGTATCGATGACGATCAGGTTATTTTCACCGTTGTTTGTCCCCCAGTCTGTTTCGTGTCGACTTTTTCACCTGTGTCAAGAACACAATGTATAAATGGGGTAAATTCATTATTAGAGATCTAGACGTCGCCACGACCGACTCTCCTTGCTTGTTCGCTTCCCGCAGAAATGTATCGTGAAGCAAGAAGGAGAAAAGTCAAAGAAAAGATTATAGCGGACCAGGCTGTAGTGACAGAGAGTGGAGAGATTGCAAATGGATTCAACATTAAAATCATTAGAAGTATCATTTCAATAATTATAGAATTTGGGCAGAAAGTGCTCGTATTATCCAGCCAAAATGATATTCGAGATCAGTCTTAATCATTGTCCAAAGGAATAGTCCTAACATTGTTCATTAATCTATTCTGCCTCTAATCATGACAGTAGACGTTTTAAACCATGTCATTGCATATATTTAAATAAAAAAGACTATAATTCACACAAGATTACATTTTTAAAATTTCACTGAAGCAAGCCATTCGTTCGATTCAGGCAACATTTTTATCC